GATGAGAATGAGAGTTACTATAATATGCATCTTTTGTTGTTGCAGGTCAAGTTTTCCTCTATTAACTGGACTCATGATAACAAAGGCTTTTTCTATAGTCGCTATCCAGCTCCCAAGTAAGTAACAAGATGTTTTGATCATATTTTGCAGCTTCTATGTCTAAGAAGTTCTGGAAGAAAGTAAGGTGTTGCTTTATTGTTCTGTTGTAATGAAAATTTTAGAAAGTTAATCAAGGAAAATGCCTGAGTTTTCAAATACTGACTGTAAATGAGCAATAAGCTTTTAGGACTAGAACAATGACGACAAGAATTATTAACATTATGAATTTGAACTAACATCGAGTTGTATTAGATTTTTATATTTAAAAGCAGTCAATTGTATTTTTATTGTGTAGAGAGGGAGAGAACATAGATGCTGGGACAGAAACCAATACAAACCTTTATCATGAGCTTTCCTATCATTTCTTGGGTACGGATCAATCAGAGATTCTGAAAATCCAAAGTTCATGTTTCGGGGCTCTGTTACAGATGACGGGAAGGTTAGTTTATATTTATGAATTTATCTATATGTTTTAAAGTACAATTTAATGGCATTTTTGTTAGTATTTATTCTCCATTTATTGGTACTCAGCAGTATGGGCTATGGGGGCATCATTGTGTATTACAGCATAGATATAGAGCAATGCACATAAGGTGATTTCATGATAGTTTTTCTTGTTTAATTTGGAAATTTAATGATTTCAATGCTTTATAATTTATAACGGATTTTTTGAAATTTTAATTTTCCAAAGATGGTTGTTCTTTAATTGCATTGCACAAGTCACTTTTTTGTATATGTTGGCTATATTGATATATCATGTCCCAGAATGTTGATTAATTTTTGCAGAATTCCTTTTTTTCCCTAAAATTGGATTTAATTAATCTAACATTTTATGTCTCTGCACAGTACCTTCTCTTGTATATCTTGGAGAGTTGTGACCCAGTTAACAAAGTATACTACTGCGACATGCCTGCACTTCCTGAAGGTCTTCAAGGTTTTAGGGGAAAAGATTTGCTGCTCCCATTTGTTAAGCTGATAGATCAATTTGATGCACTGTATACAGCAATTGCAAATGATGACACATTATTTACTTTCCGGACTAATAAAGGTGCTCCAAGATACAAATTAGTCCGTGTTGATCTAAAGGAACCAAGTAATTGGATAGACATTATCCCAGCGTCTGAAAAAGATGTTCTTGAATCAGCAGATGCTGTTAATGGTAATAAGATGATTGTGAATTATCTAAGCGATGTGAAGTATGTGCTTCAGATAAGGGATTTAGAAACAGGTTCATTTCTGCATCAGTTACCACTTGACATTGGGACAGTTTATGAGATTACTGCTAGGCGTAAAGATGATATGTTTTTTATTCATTTTTCAAGCTTCCTTACTCCTGGTATTATATATCAGTGCAACTTAGGAGCTGGGGGTTCCAGATATGAAGATATTCAGTGAAATTTCTGTACCTGGATATGATCGCACAGAATTTGATGTCAATCAGGTATATTACTGCTGCTTTTTTCAGATTTTGATGACATCAGGCTTTTGATCAGGTTGCAGCGCATTCATCATTTTTCTGTTTCCAAAAACCAGGTTTTTGTCCCCAGTAAGGATGGTACCAAAATCCCAATGTTCATTGTGGGCAGAAGGAATGTGGATTTGGATGGATCACACCCTTGTTCATTATATGGATATGGTGGATTTAGCATCAGCAGCACACCATCATTCAGTGTCTCTCGCATTGTACTAGCTAGGCATTTAGGAGCCTTTTTCTGTATTGCAAACATTCGTGGTGGGGGAGAGTATGGACAAGAATGGCATAAAGCAGGTTCACTTTCCAAGAAGCAAAATGGATTTGATGATTTCATTTCTGCTGCAGAATATCTCATAGCAGCTGGCTATACCCAACCAAGCAAGTTGTGTATTGAAGGTGGGAGCAATGGTGGGCTTTTAATTGGAGCTTGTATAAATCAGGTGATTGATCATTTGCAACTTGTTCTTTTCTGGCCACCTTTTATTATGACTGAACTGAGGTCAGATTTAAACTTGGTTGGCAGAGACCTGATCTTTTTGGTTGTGCTTTGGCTCGTGTTGGTGTGATGGACATGCTTCGTTTTCACAAGTTTACCATAGGTTCGTTCATTTGCAACGTTTTACCACATAATTGTAATATCAGGATTTTGTATTGATTAAGATTTTGATTTCAAGGCCATGCATGGACGTCTGAGTATGGTTGTTCGGAAAATGAAAAAGAATTCCGTTGGCAAATCAAGTAAGTAAACTAATATTGTATGAGAACTTCTAGTCTATTTTTCTTTAAGGTATACTTGGGTTGAGGGCAATGGAGGAAATAGGAGGGGAGGAAGGGTGTGGGGGAGGGGGAGATGAAGGGAACACATGCACTTATCTAGATACCTTAAAATGAACAAAGGAAATAATAATTTAATTTATAAGGAATTGGATAGAAGTTAGAATCCCTCCCATCTCCTCCAGTTTCTCTTTTTTATCCAAATAAAACAAGGTTTTCCACTTTCCATCCCTCCATCTCCCTTAACCCAAGCATACCTGTTGTTTTCAGCATACCTTTGTATTATCTGATGTTTGTTAGAGATGGCGTCCCACCAATATAGAGAGAGATATATAGCTAAAACATAATCAAACTTCCAAGAATTTATTTTATCATAAAAAATGAACTTTGATGCATTTTAGGCTTAGTTATCATCATTTAAGTGCCCAGTGTCTGAAACCCACAAACTTTTTAGTTTGTATATGTATGTATGTATAAAATGGAAGCTTATTTATGAGCATATTCTACAAGTAATTCTTTTATAATTGGAAAAGAAAATTCTTATTTTCAGATGAAAATTTCATGTATTAAATTATTCAGCTGTCGTTAAGAGAGAAAGATACTCGGGTTCATTATTCAACTAGTCTGGTCCTAAATTGAAAGCTTATGTATTGCAATGAGATTTGTACCTTCAACAAACATTTAACCCCATGCTCTCTTTAGGTATTCACCACTGCATAATGTAAGGAGACCATGGGAACACCCTATTAAAGCATCACAGTATCCATCCACAATGCTATTGACTGCTGATCATGATGATCGAGTTGTGCCATTACACTCTTTGAAGTTACTAGCGGTGAGTCCTTCAAAACCAATGTCTTCCCATGAAGAGACAGGTCTTTAGCAAAGGCTTGAAGTTGCTCCATGAATACATCTTTCTTTATCTCGTATTCTTTTATACTTTTCCAAAATTGCAAATACAAAAGGCGGTCTTGCAGTAATGAGTTTACTCTCTCATTTGTTTCCTCCCTCAGACAATGCAGCATGTTTTGTGCACCAGCTTGGAGAATAGTCCCCAGACCAACCCAATTATTGGTCGCATTGAGCGCGAGGCTGGACATGGGGAAGGACGTCCAACAAAGAAACGGGTAAGCCCGTATTCCCAGTTTTTAATTATCCTTGCTAAGGTGAGAAAAAATATATATATATATATCCTTGCTGTTTTAAAGTCATTGCGATCATGAAATTTTGTTTTGACTTCTTCATGAATCATTTTTATTGGGGTGATTTTTCAAGCCGAACTGCATTAGTAGCAAATCTCAAACAGATATAATGTGAAATCTCTAAACTAATACTTTTTTACTTAAACCAAATCAAGTTCCCTTCTTTA